CCCAACAAGTGTGAGGCTCGGTGTGGGGGATACAAGAGGGTAGTGAGTACAGAATGGTCGGTTCCTCTGCATTCCATGTAGGTAAAACGACTGGGCTAGTTCATGAGAAACACATTGCAGCAGGAAATGGCAGCCACCTACTTTAAAGTGCTACATGTATTGTTTGCAAATAGAATTTTGAGCAATGACAGGGTGCGAAATGGGGGTGTTACTACTTGGGGCAGACTGTGCTCTTAGCGTTCTGCCACCTCGTCCCCCTGTCGGTGAGCAAGGAACTAAAACAATATTGAATGTTTTCGCATTCAGAAAAAATGGCGACTGTGTTGTACTTCAGTAATTGTGAGGTGGACATGATCTGTTGAAATGGAGAAAAGTTCAGTACGAACGTTTTGAGTGTTTTGGAGACAGGGGGCCTGGTAGTTTGGTTAAGAAAACTGTGTTGTGAAAGAAATATTTCAGTAGTCCCTTGTGAATATTTTATGTTTTATTATTTTAAGAAATGGGAAATTCATTGTTTTTTATACTGAACAGACGTTCATTGAGGGTTGAAAACATGGGCTTCATGTTTTTGGAAAAATATCTTCAAATGTTTTTAAAAGAAATTTAAATTCCTGAAGGAAGGCTTCATGTACATGTCATATCTGTTGTCAGAGGCTCACATGGTATGAACTACATTTAATCGTCTATGCTGTTACATGAAAAGAGTCTTTCACCACAAGACCTCCCATCAATGGGGACATCCACCCTGTTGGCCCAAGATGGGATAACAAAGCTTCTGATTGCCACAAGATTGAAATTTTGATGGAGCAGCAGATCATCCTCTGGATGAACAGTAAATAGTTGTAAAAGTCAGTGGTCAATTGATGCGACCGTAATTTATTACAGTTGTCTCACAGGTTGGATGAGGCAGTAAGATGGACATCGGGTGACACTGATACCTGTTTGAATGTCAAGGTCGTGGATGAGTGAATCTGGACAATGTTGGTTTCATGTGAGTGAGCAAGAGTGTGGGAGTGAGGGAATGTGACCAGTGGTGGTGATCCATTTTTATCACCACAATATACAGGAAGTTGGCAGTGACACCTGTAGGCCCTGAGAGTTGTTAATCTCCCTCGGGTATTTCAATAGCCAGCATGCTTGAGGACGGAGCCCGTTATAGTGTCCCTTTGTTGGGTTTCTTTGAATACCAGAGAGTTTTATTGTCCCTTGGAACATGATCATACAATTACACGCAGGAAAACCAGGGAAAACATTTTATTCCACGATATTAGTCCCTGCTATAAAAAGATTAATTCGTTCAGATAAAAAACTGACAGGAAAGGTATATTATGAACTTCATGACACTTCATTGACACATCTCCGATGTATTCTTCTGAAAGAAGCATGATGGTATTCATCCATTGCTTTCACTTAAGCATTGTCACTCAATTATCTAACATCGCAGGCTAAGAATACAACAGCGATGCCATCTGGTGTCTGTTTAGAGAGGCACGGGATGCAGCTGATAGTTTGTGAGGACTTTCACCATAGGTCACTGAACAGGTACACATGCTCGGAACACAACCCTGGGAGTTTTCCTCCCCAGTTGATCAAAGCACAGATAGATATCACAATTTTGTAGTAATACTTCTCAAAAGCAGACCTGGGGTGGATGTGAATCGACAGTTTTGAATTCAGCGATGGGCATCTCCTAGTTATGAATTGCTCAGCAGTCAACCATGGAGTACGACAATTCGCTAACCATGAGTAATGGGATTCTGGGGAGGGTTTTTCCTCCTGTTTGTGCTCTCCTGACTTCAGACAATCCATGGCCGCACATCGTGGCACATGAATACCTGTGTATCCTAAGAATTAAGGACAGATGTGCACAGAAATAATGATTATGATGTTTAACATTGTTGCCCTGGCGGTTGCTGAACGGAAGCCAGGGTAACCAAAGGCGTGGGAGCATTAAGAAATTGTTAATGTCTCTTTTAGCAGAGAGAATAAGAATAATTACAGGAAATATTACAGGTGAAATTTGTTTAATTCAGTTTAGACATTACAATTTGAAGGGAAAGAGAAGGTTTTGTCTGATCGGTGATACATGTTTTCATGGGAATGGAATTGTATTTGTAATTCGTTAGCTGTTATTAACTTTCATAATTGTTTAATTCAAAGTGGTTTTGGATCAAAGGATTTGAAATATAGTGGACAGTTGAATTGTGTTTAATAGATTGTGTATTGTGTCTGATGCATAGAAGCCTTGAGGGGTATTCATTATGTTATTGCTGGGGGATAGGTTTGCTTGTCTAGATGTGAGAACCACATTCCTACCAAGATTCTGCTATAAACCGTGGAACACCTTTATATAAATACTGACAGAAATCCTTCATGTTTGTTAGTTTTTGTAACACGCCTATCAAAATGAGGAATCAGATACGAATTTGCCCGATTGTGTGTGCAAAATAACAAGGGCATATAACGTATTGTGAAAAAAATGTGCACTTGATGCTGAACTTCAAAGTGCATGTGGGGTGTATTGCAACAGATGTCATAATAACCTCTGTTGCAACAAGTATGTGTGTGGCTCTTCCTTCCACCTCCCTGTTTGCAATCTGTTCCCCTCACGAGATGATCATTGTTTAGGCTGGGGGTTAGGTTACACAGATACTATAGTAATTGCAGTTTTGAGATTTGAACTTGCATTCTGTATGGATGTCAAGTTTAAGATGTAGTGTTTTTCAGTACAAATTTGAGCCAGTGTTTGTATGGTTGTATTGTGGAGCTGGGTGGGAGCCTGTGATGATAACACAGTAGACAATTGTGGCATTTCTTTCATTTTAGATATTGTGCAGTTGTAAAAGGCTGTGACTCATTGTTTGCTTGCTGTAAAAATAGCCATGGGCTTTGAGAAATATTTTGATTTAAATGCTGACGACAATATTGTGTTGTAGTTAAAGTAAGTGTGTTAAGATTAAGTCTGTTCTTTTCAGTTGAATTTCCAAAATATCTGCAGAGCTATGAAAGTTATATAAAAAATAGTGTTCACATTCCTTAGTGTCAGTTTAGTTGTAATTATTTAACCAATTACCATTTTTCCAAAATAATTTGATGAATTCTCTATCACAACATCAAAAATGAATATTTAGGCTATGTTCCATTTTGGAGCTACCAAAGCAGTTCAACGTCAAAAAAGTTTTCAACACATCAGTGTGATTGTTAGCACTGCAGTCTCTGCTGATTATCAACAATTTCTCGTCTAATGCCTCCATAACCTGATTTTGTGTGTGTCCATTGTGTGTGCTGAGGTGGATGTGGAATGTCACAAGTCTCAGGTAGGGTTCCCCTAAACAAAGTTCTAGCACACAGATACCTGCCAGCAGTGTTTGTACGTCTGCTCACAGAGGGCTAGCAGCGGCCATGTTGACATTGATTCGGAGGGTGGACTTCTATTGGACTCAATTTGGGCCTTGGAATTCGACAAAGACGGAAGAAATACATGTTTATTTATGGATATGAATTTCTTTTGTTTCCATGGTAATGCCAGTGATGGTTGTGTGGAATTGGTTGTCACTAAAAGGCAGATCTGGAAACTAGTTTGAAATGTTTAAATTGGATCCATTTGGTTTATGTTGAAGTAAAAAATGTTTATGTGAAATAAACAAACTGGATAAAGCTGCCTCCCTTCTTCCCGACTTGGTTGTTCATGGATAGAACTATGTGCTGAATTCTGCTTCATCCTTCCTGTTTCACTGTGTACGTTCCTGTGATCATGTCTGGACGTTTCTAAATACTTCTCTTTATGAACAGGATCACCACCTTTAGAAACTTTGTGAATGAATTGCGAGCCAATTTTCCCAGTTGCTGACTTTCACTAAAATTAGCTGTTTACCGTGGCATGGGTTATCACACTATTGATAAAATTTTGCCCAATCTGTAAGAATATCAAGTCGTAACTTAAAATAAATCCAGACAAATATCTCCAAACCCGCCTACACTGTTTGATATCCAGGATTCCAGGTGTGTTTTTATGCTATATCATCCTAATTTAGAAAATGAGCTACCAATTGAAATCCAAGTTGTTTGACTGCGGTAAATACATCATGGCTAACAGTGATATATTGTCTCGTATCGCAGTGGTAAGGAGCATGTAGTAGGCCATGATAATTACAAACCATGTCTACACAGCCACGCCATTTATTTAATTGACAGAAACCTATCGAGACATGAAATATTATATTAGGCAGTATGAAAAATAATTGCACATTTCGTAAAGGGAATCTTTAGGAAGTAAACTGAAGACAACTGAATGATAAGAAGAAACAGTCACATGCAATATGATCAAGTCATGTGGAGTGAATAAATATAAGTCATGATTATTTTAGTTATAAGTTATAATAAACATTTGTGTGATAGATACACTGGTTAAACAAGTAAATTGGTGATTAATTAAATAATCTTGGAGATTTGTAATGGGATTTTTTGTTAATGCATAGGTCCAATAGGTGTTACCTTTACTGTACCACATTGACAATGGTTACTGTGTTCTGAATTAACTGTCAATATTGGTATGATAAATACTTTAAGTCATTGAAAAGAATATACACATCTACAATTAATTAGACTGCTTATTAGTGTTATCAGTCATGACCAACCTGTAATCCCTCCAAAAACCTTGTTCTGTTTGAAGTGTCAGGCTGGGTTATCTCCCTTCGTTGAAATCATAACTTGATAGCTTATCTTTACAGGGACAGAACTGTCCATTTGATACAAGAGTTGTCGGTTTACTGATAAATATGACATGATAGTCAGATAAAGAGACCCCCACAGTGGCACTGAACATGAATCTTGTAGGGGATGAGACCACTCACAGCTTTTCCCTATTAAATCATGTGTACTTCTACAAAATTTCTTTCATGTGTTTTTTTCCATTTTCAAACATGAATATGTATTTTTAGCACACATGAAAATCGAACTTGGAAGCTGACAATTGTATATTGTATCAATTTTTCTTTCAGTGAGACCCTACTTTAGGAAGCTGCCTGAGACTGTCTTACAACACATCATTGGTGAAACTATCAAGCTACGGTGTCGAGTTCGAGGCCATCCCAAACCTTTTCTGACATGGTACAAGGGTGACAAGCTCATTGACCATACCAGTAATGAAAGGTAGGTGTACAACTGAAACTGATAGATGTTTACCATAAGTAGAATTCCTCAGCATTTAGGTATTTAACAAGTTGTCATTCAGAATCCGAACAGCCCCTCGGTCAGATTTGGTGCCTCGGTTGATGCATACCAATGTTGATCAGTCACATGGATCACAGTATCAATCACTGGATTGTGAAGTTCAAACTCCACTACAGGCTAGAAGTTCAGCATTGACTTGTGATCTCATTGGGATGGTCAGGTTGTGTGACATGTCCCTGATGGTGTGAATTGTTGCCAATCATAGGTTTGTCTGGTCCAGATTAGGTTGTCTGCAGGTCAGGTAGTCATTGGGCTTAAAAACAGATCATGTTACTAATTGCTTTTTGTGACATCTAGGGTGACGGTGAACCGCTATGCGTTGGTCATTGAAGATGTACAGCCAGAAGACGAGGGAAAGTATGCATGTCATGGACAGAACCAACATGGAGAGGTCTGGGGAAACTTCACCCTTAAAGTGCGCAGTAAGTACTTAAATGCAGACAATGTAAGCTTGTAAGCTATTGGTTACTCCACCGCTCTCAAACTAACTGAATATGAAAGAACATGATATTTTGTAATGGCAGACATTCTATTTAAATAGTTGCTCTGAAGTGACAAGCCTTACAAGGTTTGAGAAGGTGATTTTTATGTAGAAAACAAGGGAAATGTTTGTGTGGATGTCCAACGAAGTGAATTAGAATTCATTGCCAGGTATTGACATTCAAGGACAAATTTGGATGTATATGTGCTTTATGATTTCTCACAATATTGTCTTTTTTTGCAGACACAACAAATTTTGATGACTACGAAAACGATTATGAGAGTGAATACGTTAATGAACCGCAAATTCCTGGTAAGGACTTTTCGTTTTTTGTCATTTGTGTTTGGTTCCATATATTTATTCATAATGGTAAAAAGATATCTTGTGTAATGAAGTTATTAATGTTGCTGTAAATATTCTGAAGACCGGTCAACCACAGATCTTGTGTGAAGGTTCCTAATTAGCCCTAGTGATGAAAAGAGAGGCATGTTATAAGTAGTCTTCAGGAAGATAGCATGTAACAGGATATATGATAGGTGAATGAGAGAGCTTCCAGCTTATCACATGGCTCGGTAAGCCCAGGGGAGGGAGTACAGATAAGGGTTTCCACTCGATTTGGGCCCAATTTGATGGAAGAGGAAGAGAGAGAGAGAGCTAATCAAAATAGGGTCCAGTTGAATTCCCATAGTGACACAACATAGTTATCTGCCCAAAAACTAAATCCACCAGATCCAAACCTATACTACTTAGACAAGTTCATTATATTTCTAATTAATACAGTTCAAACATTATTCATGTGTTATTTTTTAAATGATTAAAATATGTTGCAGAAAGGGGTGAGGTTTATGCAGATATGGTGTATATGGAAATACCTCTGGGTTGCAATAAATTGATTTGAAAGATAATCACTTGTTAGGACAGGGTAGATAATGAAATTCTGGGTGATGAAATTGAGTTAGAATCTGATGGCTACAGACAGATGTCTGAGAAACATGGCAGGAAAATCTTGGAAATGACAGTACATGACCACTCTCTTTCTGCCATGGAAAATCTTAACAACTTATGTGCTGTGAAGTTAAGGAGGGCAATTTAACAGTTTTCTGGCGAAGTGATGGGGCATGGCAAGGGAGACCAGAGTCTCTGTTCAACACTCTACCCTTTGATGCGGGATACGAGAAATGAAACGCGATTGATCAGCAAGTTTAGCTTTTGAGTCCTTCTGCCAGTAGTAGCAGACAGCATTTCCTTTCATGATGGCTGAGTAACAGTTGCCACCAAACGTCAGCTTGCTGAAAGAAGTCTTTGTTAGTTTCAAAACATTACCTGAAATTATTTGTGCAAGTGCACATCTCTCGTCAGTCATGGGGGAAAGCCTGTCAGTACTTCCTGTTCTAACAATTGCATTTGATTTTTTGATTTTTTTTTATTGTTCACAAATTTGCATTAGAAACAGGGAACATTTTTGTGATTTTTACCGTAGAAATTGTCTGTGAAATTGAGGGCTAAACATGTCAATGGTTTAGAATGGTTGCTGGTGGATTGATATTAAAAGCATATGTAAACAATTCAACACCATGCAACCTGCGGAATAGCCTATTTATAAACTTCTCAAAACAAAAAAACACCATCCAATCAAATCCCATCTGAAAAGTAAGAAAAATGGGCAGAACCATCAAAAAGTAGAAACTCTGGGCTGAGCAGCTAATTTGAAGGCAGCTGCTTTTAATTTAGTCCCCATCGGTAGAAATGTAGGCCCTGACGCATAATGAAGAGGGGAGGCAAGTTAGTACAAGGGGCAGAAGGCAGGATGCAATACAGTCTGCTGGAGGTAGATCAAGATGGCCATCACCAGCAGGGTCGCAGAAAATAATCTTTCAGAATAAATCTAATCTAAATAAATATTATTAGGTGAAGGATAAGATATACTTGCTGGAGATTTGAAATTGTGGAACTTTCGTTTATAAATGTTAAGAATTTAGAGGATATGTTCAAGTGAAAGGGGCTAGCTGGTGTGGTGTTACAAAATGAACCTCTCCCATTTTGATTGTTCAACAAATATTTACTTTCATAAATTTTTTCATAACTGTTCTCAGGTATAAAAATGTGTATTTCTTTTGTAGGAAAACCAACATGGGCGAGGAAAAAGGAAGACATGAAGGACATTGCAAAGCCAGCTAACTCTTACGTGGACTTTAAGTGTCCTGCTGTTGGGAAACCCAAGCCTGACATAGAGTGGCTCTTTGAGGGTAAACCCTTCAAACGAAACACGCCTGGCCAGGTAAAAATATATGAATGTATACATGTTTAATTGTTTGTATGATTAATTATATGTTAGAAACAGTGCAGTTTAACACATTGTTGAACTAATGTAAAAGAAACAAGTAAATCCATTATTAGTGTTTGATTTGGGTTTTTCATATTACAGATGACCATGAAGGGCTACAAGCTGACCCTTGGTGATCTGGTCCCTCTTGACAGCGGAAAGTACACGTGCATCGTCAGTAACACCCACGGCTCAATCAACTGGACATATACATTACAAGTTGTCCGTAAGTAGAAACACCTCCCTACAATTAACAATGCAGAAGTACAGATAAGCTGGTATCTGCGTAAATTACGCAAATATTTATGTGAAAACTCTATTCTTATTAAGTCTATTGCATACAAGTACGCTTGAACTTTTGTAAAAACTCAGTAAATTTGATCTAACATGCGTACACACAAACATGTCGAATCTTAGCTTGCGTACCAGTGCACAGTAAAACTAACTGAGGTATACTAAGAAGTTCTATTTCAACACATGAACCTGGCACTAACATTTAAACTTTATTATATTTTTAAAATTGATGGAAAATGGCAAAATACCCAATTGAGTTTGAGTGAGATGGGTACAATTTATTTGGTTACTCAAAGGAAAATTAGGATACCCAGTTGAGATGAACACAAGCGAGTACATAACTTAATGACCCAAAACGTTATCTGTAGCTCTTCAATGTCAGAAAGAGGGCACCTAAGTATTTTCACACCTTTAGAATTATATTTTCTGTATAATGTATTTTGTGTTTTATTTTTTCAGAGCGTCTTCCACATGCTCCAATTATTAAGGGCCCAAAGAATCAAACTGTAGTGGCCGGAGAAACAGCCTTTTTTAACTGCAGGATTTTACTGAGTGACCTTCACCCTCACATACAGTGGCTGAGACATTACAAGGTCAATGGCTCGTATACCACACCTGAAGGGGACCCCTATGTAAATGTTCTACAGGTAAGGGTACTAGTTCAGCTTACAGCCAAAATTATATTTTGTATTTTATTTTTTTCAAATATTGTTCCATTATTTTCACTTTTGTTTTAGTTTGTTTTGTAGAGATTTCCTAAAGGTTAAAATGTTGATGTTGTACAGGAAGATGTAGAAATAGAAGTGAAATAATTTTGTGCTGAGAGTAGAACTGAATATTTATTCACACCTACCTAAATTCAGCATAGGTTGTATCAACAAGATTGTTGTTATCAAGTTTGACATTAAGACGAGCCTGTTTTAATTCCCTCTCTATTTTTGCTCTCTTCAGACTCAGGTAAGACTGCAATGTTGGCCAATTGAGTTTTGATGTTGTGGCATTTGTGCCAGTACCAACGTTGTAGTGGGTCGTTGGCGCTGTCGGAATGATCCTAGAATGTTGATGAGATGAATGACTGATGACCTTATGCAGAAATATGACTGGCTCAAATGGGAGCAGTCAAGGCGCCAACTTGTCGTCATATGATACATAATGTACATTTTCCTAGCAACTATTCTTAAAGATTTATTGACATCATTTGAAAAAAGATGTATTCCTCAAAATATTAAAATCCAAACCCAAATAATAAATTAATAAAATAATTAATTGATTACTTTTTATGAAATCTGTTCTGGTTCTCCTCATTTAGAGAAGATTTGAAAACTATTTAGATTAATTCTTTGATTACATCAAATGCCTTTTTTGCAAAATTAAATTATTTAAACGAAAAACAATTGTGACAAGATGGCGCAGCATGTGATGAATGAACATGGTCTCTCTTACAGCTTGGCATAGAACATGACAACGTGATAGAGCAGTCTAGTTGTCTAACGTCCGTCTTTGTCCATCTAGTTCGTCTGTCTAGCATATATAGTACAACATTATATGGCCTCCGCGACCACATCAGCACATTCACTAGTTGCACTATTAACATCATCTTGCACTTTCAGGAATCCAGCCCTCGGAATGTTGCACCTAGTTCTGTTTCTATCAAGGGAGAGCATAAACCCTCATTTTGTGCACTTGAATACTACTTTTATGATGCTCTATAATAAATGTTTTATAAATTACACACAACTACTTCATGCTTCTTTGATTTATTTTTTTGTAAGACAGTAAGACTTCCATTCCTTAAATTAAGTTAGATAGTATTGATTATATATTTCTTTAATGTTACTTACGTTGGCAATATTATTACTTTTTTATTTCTTTATATTTAATGGCATACACAACTACTACGATATTTCTGTCAAAGGTACACAATATTATTTCTTTAATTTTCTCAATCCAGCCTTGTTTCTTCTTATGGAGCAAATAATCAAATTAGCCACATTGCCCATATTGATAAGAAAGATCACCGGGTAATTTTGTAGGATAAGTAGGGCTCCTTGATAGAAATGTTGAAAATGACAATTTTAATCCCATTTGAATTGCAGCATCAATAGCATGAGGGTACGCAAGTGTTTGGGTACCCCCTGTGTTCTAACCACAATGTTTCAACATTAGACAATGTTAACCGCTTGTCCCATGTCTGTCTCCCATCTGCATGTGTAGACACATGGACCTTGCCGCGCACAGATTGTTGCACACATGCACTGCTAACAATAAAAACATTTTTTCGTAAAAGCTTTGCAGAGTGACAAGTAGGATGTCATCATTTCTTTATAAACTTTGGATATAATTATGACAAGGAATATTATGGATAGCAAATTCTATATTACACATACAAAATTCTTGTTATCCACAATATTGCTTGTAATAATATATTGTACAACACAATTATAAAACAGACTCTGCTATAGTTAAAAAATTAATTATGCCTACTCAGCTTAGAATCCTGTTTCCACATATAAATATCATACAGTGATGAATATTGTTTGACCCTATTGTTCCTCAGTTGTTTGAAGGTGGTGGTCGTATACTCACACAATCCTTTCCTGTCAGCTCGTTCTAGAATTCATGATCTTAACAATTATATATTTTTTCAACAGATGTCAAATGTAAACACATCGGAACCAGAGCAGTTGGTTCTACACAACGTGGACAAAGAGACTGCTGGGTGGTACACTTGTGTTGTACAAAACAGCATCGGAATTGAATACGGCTCAGCATGGCTAAAGGTTATAGATGGTAGGTATTGCAAAAACCAGGATCTCTTCACAAGTGATATTATTATAACCCTAGCCAGTGGATCAGGGTTTCTATTCTCAGCTTCTTGGGGAGAATACAGCTCAAAAGTTCAGTAAATTAGTCCCTCATGGGAAGGCATATCGTTGGAGACTTTTGGTCGGACTCTTCACTGGAAGCTTGTTCCTCATTCCTCAGATAACATACCTGGAATATTGACAGGTGTCTTGTCATTCACTCCCTCACTCACTTTAACCGTCCAATGAATGGAAGTTAGTATGTGATATATACTACAGATGTGACAGAATTCAGTTTTGATGTTTTCATATCTTGCTCTTTCATTGTCAATTTTTTGTTTGAATTTTAGAACATCCGGTGAGTCAATCAACAGTCGGCCATGGCGTAGAACAACCAATGACCGTCCCGATGATAGCAGGGGGGTCCGTCATCAGCATCGCAATCGTCAGTATCAGCATTGGCATTATCGTCTTCTGGTTCCGTCATAAACGGCGTCTTAGTATGCCGTACAAGAAGAGGGTTATCATCATGAGACAGGTACGAATTGCTTGAATAACAAAAAATAAACACCAGTTGTATTACATTTCACCTGACGAAGGGGCAAAAAAAAGAAAAGCCCAGTAATGTTGTGTGTAGAATAAACAAGAAGTTGACATCCATAATATTTTGTCTTATACAATTGTATTACAGTGTTAATAACCATTTTTAAGTTAAGCCATGAATCTGGGCTCTGATACAAAAGGTGAAAAATGCTTCTTTCAGTGAAATCATTCAAATGTTATAGATGGACAGTTCTTTGCAAAGAAAATTATGTTATGTTACCTTCCAACTTCTAAATGCCCATCAAGCATCTGAAAGAAAATTGTCTTGTAATGTTCCTGGAAGTCACTGGTCATTTGATTATTTTGCAGAATGACCTATACTACCCCAACAGCAAGGATCCATATGCAACGGTACCATTAATGGTACCCCAAGTACGAATTGAGAACAGCAATTTCATGAGGCGTAGACTATCATCAGAATTCACGGAAGTGTCAGAGTATGATATTCCTCTAGACAAGACGTGGGAATTTCCTAGAGAAAGGTAATCATGGCAATCTGAATTACTCTGTAACTGAGGGGAAATATGTATTTTCTTATGTAAGAATATCCAAAAACATTACCGTTAAATTAGATATTTCTGTCTGCTAATCATGTCATGTATATGGTAATTTCACTTACATTGTCCTTTACTTTCAGACTCGTCTGTGGAGAAAGACTTGGAGAAGGAGCTTTTGGTTTGGTCGTCAAGGGTGTGGCACTTGGTATCCAGGGAATGCCAGGAAACACTACTGTTGCCGTTAAGATGTTAAAAGGTAAATTGAAACTTATTACCGGAAAGTATATGATTTATTCTTCTAAGATCACATCCCACAGCATGATGGAGAAGTAATACACTGCAAGTTTATAAATACTGATACATTTGGTATCACATTATGCACTTGGTTGATAACCAAGTTTATTAATACTGATACATTTGGTATCACATTATGCACTTGGTTGATAACCAAGTTTATTAATTCTGATACATTTGGTATCACATTATGCACTTGGTTGATAACCAAGTTTATTCCCCATGTTGGTAGTACTGCACCATGGCTGTGGAATAACTCTTCATAGACTATATACCCGCTTGGAACCAACTGAATTCCATTTTAGGAAGTACAATTGTTTTACAAATTGGGAAAACATGGCATATAATTACAGGGGTACAACTAAATGTCTTGATATGCAGTATCTTATTTGGCAAACTTGTATCGATACTCAGTATCTTACTCGCAATATCTGTCCGTCCATCAGAGGATGCCACCGACCGCGAGATGACAGATCTGATGCAGGAGATGGAGGTAATGAAGTTCATTGGAAGTCACAAGAACATCATCAACCTCCTCGGATGTTGTACACAGAGAGGTATGTTGACAGACACAACTGCCAAGCTAAGATAAATGATATAGATAGTTTGGTGCTTAAATTCGCACTTGCCATGTTGCAATAATTATATAATTATACAAGTCCTGGCAGTCCAGTGATCTATGTTTGGCTGTCTTTCTCTTACGACCAGCATAGTTTGCTAGATCTAATTTAACATGGAATCCAAACTGGGTCACATGGCATGGCCTGTATGTTTTCGATAAATATTGTATCAGAAAATTGTATGTCCAGTTTTATTTTTCAGGTCCCCTCTACGTCATTGTGGAATACGCACCTAATGGAAATCTCCGCGACTTCCTGAAGAAACACCGACCTCCCAACTCTGGCTACCCTTGCACATCAGGATACGAGCGACCAATCATCAGTGACGAGCTGAGCGACTATAAACCACTCACACAAAAAGATTTGATATCATATGCATATCAGGTTGCAAGAGGAATGGAATATCTTGCTACAAAACATGTAAGTACTGCAAGAAATACAAAACCCACTAATATCTTATACTGGTTTTATTGACCAGTACTTGCTTGGAATTATCCCTGTTGTAGCGAATAGTGAACTGATGAAGAAATCGTTTAAGCTGATCCTGTCATTCGGAGTGGCATATTCAGAATGGCCAGTGAATTCCTCCAAGAACAATATTGTGATGTCATAAACAATAATGTGATGTCATACTGATGTAAATGTAATATATTGCCTCTGGTGTTCCTTTTCAAGATTTTACCAGAATATTACTAAAATTGATGGAACACTTTGTGTATTTATGGTGACCTTGGATTTGTGGTTCTCTTTCAGTGTATTCATAGAGATTTGGCTGCTCGAAATGTGCTTGTAACAGATGACTACGTATTGAAAATTGCCGACTTCGGCCTCACAAGAAACTTGCGTAATGTAGATTACTACAGAAAAACAACAGATGTAAGTATATAAAAGTTCATATTCTTGTAATAGTATCCTTCACTCATTACTGGTAAGCAGGAAGATGACACACTATATACTAAACAATAGAAACTTGTTTCTTTAGTTGCCTTTTTGTAGGACTAGATGGCACAATGATTTTCTATCTAAAATGGCAGCCAGTTGAATATCTTGAATAGGACAGAAATATTCTCAATAGCAACAAGTCTTGTTAATGAAAGTAATATTTTTGCTTTCAAACTTGTACATCAATAACAAACAAATAACAAATACTTTCACTTTCAGGGTCGGTTACCGGTCAAGTGGATGGCGCCTGAAGCACTCTTTGACCGAAAATACACCTCAAAAAAGTGACGTGTAAGTATTTAAAGCAACTCGCATAGAATTAATTTAAGAACCTAATTTGTGAAAAAACTTAATCCATTCTCCATTGTTCACAGAAATATAGTAATGCCTCGTTTTTATCAGCTTCTGTATAGCCTATGAGTGGACTGTAATATGGTCACATGTTCATAGGTCTGGTGTTGTATATTCTTCGTATTGTTTCAGTTGGTCGTATGGTGTTTTGTTATGGGAGATATTCACACTGGGAGGAAACCCATATCCCTCGGTACCAGTGGAGAAGTTGTTCGAACTCCTGCGAGAAGGACATCGGATGGAAAAGCCTCCATATGCATCAAATGAAATGTATGTCATTTTAATTCTGTCTTTTGCGCCAAGAAATATTAATGAAGTCTGCATGCCTTCAAAAGAAGAAAAAAGCAACATTGTTTTCAGTGTATAGAGAAAACACTTTACAGAAATAAAGAAACAAGCTATATATTTTGTCATGGGTTCTTATAGCGTGTTTATTGTAAAGTGTTATAGTATGGTGTAAGTATGTATTATGAACTTGTATCCCTTGTGTTTCAGGTATGGTATAATGCACAAGTGTTGGCAGGAGAACCCTCAGATGAGACCGTCCTTCCAACAGCTTGTGGTGGAGCTCGACAAGATCCTCACGTCATCACTGAATGAAGAGGTACGTACATAGCGAAACAAATACACTTTCTCATCAAGTCACTGTATTGTAAACGTGGATATACACAGTACATTTATAAACTCCATGCATATTTAAGTACAGAACTAGTACTTTTGTTGGGTTGAGTCCCATCTGGGATTCGAACCCACACCATCAGAGTCAGGCACCTAATCGCCAGAAAACGCCTAAGTCAGACGCCTAACCTGCACAGCCACCCCCCGGCTTGACCACTTTCTAAATGCCATTGTGTAATCAATGCACATTGAATTACATTCTTATATAAATATTTTTCTTCTTTTCCTGCTAATGACCAATTCTGTCATGGTAACGTAATGTATATTGGCTGAAATGTTTTGTGTATATTTTTAGGCGTACTTGGACCTGGAGCCTGTAGAAGCACCAATGAGCACGTCAGATAGCCAGTACTCGTCAATGTCCCATAGCAGTACAAGCAGTGGTGAGAGCAACATTACCGAGTAGCCATGTGATTGGTCACGTGATCATGTGACCTTCCCCAGCAAGGGCAGCGGCTGAGAGGTGCCACGCTACTACATGTGTGGAGTCGGCCAAATTTTGTAACACTGCGGACTTGGGCTGTGTTATTTGTATATATACCACACACAGTGTAGGGCAACTATTAGCAACATGCTAATAGATACTACCGCTTGTCAATCCGGCCAATGGGAGAAGAATTTGAGAGTGCTAGTTACAATGTATTCAATTCTGGGAGTTTCTTTGAAGAAAACAGACATACTGAGCTTCACAGGATTGTGAAAATTTATATACCTCACCATTGAAAGAATGAGGAAACCACAATCTTCAATTGGAACTTTGGCACTTTGTGTTGTGTCCTGGCAGTCTGTGAACAGGAGTTGTTTGTGGACAAGACTATATTCCTTTCAAATTCTTGCTGGAACGTCTCACTGTGACTGAGGGGTGACAGGATGTAAAGAGTACCCCATGAAGAAATGAGTCTGCCCTGAGCTCAGTCATTTACAAAGCTGTTGTGTATATACTTTAGACTGCTCAAGGATATATATTGTTGAGTTGAATTTTATGAGAAAATTTATGCTATTATATTGAGTCCAGAGTTAGAGAATGTATATTTTTTAATTAGACGCAACTCATTGGACTGTAAGATTGTAATATTGTCTGTCGTGAGCTTCCAAAATGTGTGCCAATGAAGTGAAGGAACATGGATTGTCTTCCGTTAGTCGTTCATACTTAATTGCGACTTATATATGTATATATATAAGTACTAATATCCACCATGAAATAAGCTAAGGGCAGACAACCCAATGCCTCAAGAGAAATTAGGGTCAGCCATGGGTCTTTGGGGTCAAGGTCAATCTGCTATATTTTATGGATTTTAAATAATCAGGAACTTATTACTAATCTTGACTGTCTAAGCAATGGCAGAATTTACATTAGTATGTTTAATGATTTTAAATGTCTACAAGAAGAAACTTGAATCTCTTGCCAACTTGCATTTATCTGGACCACCGTTAAGCAACTGTATTATTTGTTGCCATCGATGTGCATTTAATCAAACTGCAATTTACATGCATTTGTTAGTGTCACTGCCAGTCAATTGTTATTGTTTTATGTAAGCATTGGTTGAATGAAATCTATTTTGTTAATGTAACGTTGTTAATGTTTAGTCTGGATTCATGCTAGATACTAGGTTTCATTTTCATCTCTTAAACATTGTCTTAAGCTAAACATTAGCAGGCATCTCATGACAATAGGCATCAAGTTGTTTTTTGTTTTTCAATAGTGCTTATGGTTCCACACATGTGTTCAGTTGTCATAGTACCAGGTTACCTAGGCAACATGGAAATGGTGCATTATGGGGGTAAATATCATCAGTTTCATTACCTAAATTATTTAGTCAGCATTCTGACTTGTTGCCTGTTGGTTGCATTATTTCCAAGTCTTCCACATGTTTGTTTTTGTGAATGAATATATTTGGCAGGTAATATCTTTTCTCATGTCACCGATATATATAATGGCACATCAGACAATCATAGGGTGAATTCGAGCCATTTCTTTTCATCTCAGTACATGAAATTGTCACTTTTTCTAGACCAAATAAACAGTTGGACAAAATTGAGTTGAAATGGAGATTTTTTAACTGCGATGAAACGCAAGCATTTTGATGTTTTGATGAAATTCTAGAGCTGTGAACACTTCATGTATTTTGAGGTAGTACCATATGCAAAATCTCTGTCTCATTGTCTTCCGTAATGCTAGTATGCTACCGAAAGACACGTGTATTCTAAGCTCAGAAGAACAACACTCCCAAGCAAAGATGACTAAATGTGTATATTTGGATTAAGAGAGTGCTGCAATGCACGTCTGATGTACGGACTAACCGCACCTGTGCTTGATGTGCACTGCCAGAGCTGTACATGCTTCAAGTACGTGTGCTGTTTCCCTTCAGCTTGTTGCAGCTTCTACTATACATTAATGCTTTGTATGGGTGTGAATATTTCGTGACCTAAATGGAGGACCTTTCATGGTGTGAATATTGAACTCAGCAAGTGTGCATTTACTTGCAGTCCAACGGAATTAATTGACATGATCACAGAGAAGATGTGAATTGTTAATATATACTAAATGTGGGATAAAAGAGGCGTCACGCCTGAAGAAGAGTCTTGGACCAGATGAACATGGAACATGTACCTGAAATAACTTACAGGGAATTTTATTCATGACTTGTGTGTTATGAAGATATTCACCACCAAATACCAGTTAGCATTTTACATTATATTCACCAGTTCTTGCATTAGAAGTGCAGAATACTACTTTCTGCAAGACATCTTGTAGATGGTTCCTCAGGAAATTGTCACACTGGTTTTTTAAAGTATGAGCTTACGGCTTGTATCATGCAGTTTTATATTTTATTATTGCATTTTATGAATCTCCAACAACTTTTGCTAAAAGAGTGAAAACCTCAAGACAGATGACATTTTTTATTTGTGCAAGTTTTTGTTGTGCAACTTTTTTAATTAATGAAGCAAAAGTTGTTAGAGAACTGGTAAGAGTGGCTTTTTGTTTTAGTACCGGCAAATATGGCCTGTTCTTAATTTTTTCAGACAGATTTGTTTTTAAAATGGCATAATTTAGCCAGAGAATTTATTCTTTACCTGGATTTCTAGAAGTTTTAGAAATTCAGACTGAAACAGGTATTATAAGTAAGTGTCTTTGGGTTTTTTATGATTTGTCTAAATTGTTAAGTTAAGGATTTAAGGTTCAAATTGCACTTGTTCAAGTTGTGAATTTTGTGTTCATAAATCATTGAAGTGTATTAGCACCCTACCATCATGAATTAAATATCTGAAAGTATTGCAATCTCAGTATTCCATCATGAAGTCATTTGGCAGTTTTATAAAGGTCAACAGTCTATGAGTAATTCAACACACAATTGTTTTGAATATTTGATGTAAATATTTGGGCCTACTTAATATTTTTTTATACTTTATATTATGTAAATGAATTTGATTCCAGATGCAATGTAAGAGGGGTTTGATTGATGAAATTCTGAAACAAGCGAAAACAATTGACATCATCCTATCATCACACTGTTGGTCTAATGTAATATATTTGTACAATTGTTGTAAATTAGAAAAATAAAACTCAATCTGTAGATTACTTGGAGTCTTGTGTCATTCTAAGGAGTTGTCACAAGCTCTGTGGTATGTGTGGTTGCCTCTCTTGGGATCTAGTTTGATCCCAGCAGGAGATCACCCCTCTTAGTGATGGGTAGCCTTGTGGTTAAAGTATTTGCTCATCAGACTGAAGACTAGTGTTTGATTCCGCACAGGGGTACAAGGTGTGAACCAAATTTTGTATGCTTAAGTGACATAAAACTCCATTCATTTACCTCTGGGTATATCAGCCTATCCACCCCACTTGGTTGTTCAAGACATATTGTTAGGCCATTTGGAATCAGCTCTTCTGGATTAGCCTAGAACCTCACCAAGCACATGTTAGGTAACCCCTTCTGTCTTGTGACTGTGAATATTGCAGCAGCTCTGACTAGGACATGAATTGTGTCGTGGTCCACAGCAACAAAATATTTATTTCAGGAAGTTCTGCATTCAAATCATAGAATTAACATGACAGCATTTTTTGGTATAGATAAACTTGAATAGATCATTCGTACCACAAACGACCCTCGTCGGGATTTCGGGGTAAAATGTGCCCCAGTACCCTGCGGCGTCGCACTAGGATTGGGGTGTAACCTGGCTGATTGTCTGCCTCGTCTGGGTGCATGTTCATGTTGGTTGTTTGGCCTGGTTCTCCAGCCCGTATACAGCTAAAATATCATGTAACTTTCTGTATATATAAACGGAATACTGACTGAACTGCGACGGTCTCTCGCTCGGACTTCCTTTCAGTTCACCCCCTGCGACTGAGCAGCGGGTTCCTCGTTCGAATTATGAAAATCAACCCTTCACAGGATTCGTTATTCGAAGGCCGTATGCTAAACAACTACAGTATAATGTTTTCAAATAGACTGCATTCACGTGTAAGGATGTTTCATGGAAAAAGAACGCTCTGCTCACTTCACGCTCCCAGCGACTGACCAGAACCTTTGAAATCCATCATCAATGTTGTTGCCTTGTCATCAGCGTCCTGGAAGCACCACTGGGCAGTCTATGAAGCTGGTGATTTACTAAAAGACTCGGCTCCTTGCAACCAGAAGCCCTTCTGATATCGTCAGGCTGGTATTTAATGAGCAGACGACCGTCCGCCGATTACCTTCAGCCAACACGGCAATCAACCTATCAGATTGTTTGTTTATTCTCGAATAACCGAAACAAAAATATTTGGTCAGTACATCACCCGCCGACAGACGCGAAAAGAGATGGAGCAATAATTCACCGACAACTGACTAAAGGTATTGCTGGAATTACGATCACGCGCACTACAGGTTGATGGCAGATATATGGCCCACCGTCACCAGTCGCATGGAATAATGGGTTTATATACTGCATGGGTAGGGCAGTATCAGTCTAGACATGGACAGGGCTCCGTATCGCCGTCTTCAGCAGCGGATATGATTTATCGCCCACAGTTTCTAAAAGAGAAAAGTCGGAAGGGCTGTTTCTTGCTCTGTCGACCCACAGATAAGCGATGTATTGTATTTGCTGTACATGTAACGAATACACGTGCTATCTCAGATCAAGGTAGGAGCTGGGAAATGCATGTGTGTGCAGAGGAATGGTATCGGTGGAATAAATAACAGGTTCAAGGATTCAGATGGTGATGCAAGCAGCGATATGTACTCAGTTGTTCAAAATATCCGTTGTTACAAATGGTCTTCAGCAACAATGTCGTAAAAGCACGGAATCTCCCCCAAATCAAGCTCGCTGACCTGGTTGATGCATGCCATTGCGTTGATCGGTGCCCATTATCAAACTCATTATCGCTGGATTTAGAAAGTGGTTAAATGTAACGCGTGATATATATCGGATTACTCTTTCTCAGAAATATGGGACGTCTTTGTATCAGGGGGAGGGGCTAGTGGTTAAAGCGTTCGCTCGTCACGCCGAAGGCCAGAGTTCGATTCCTCACATGGGTACAATGTGTGAAGCCCATTTCTGGTGTCCCCCGCCGTGATGTTGGTGGAATATTGCTAAAAGCGCCGTAACCCATACTCACTCTTTGTATCAGTGGTGCGTTACTCCAGGATTTGATAGCTAAGGCAGTCTGTGAATGTAGTGCTCCTTAGGCCGAGCATTAGTCTGTCATACCTAAAACAATATCCAAGCAGCCCATGCAAGTTTCAGGGCTAGTTTTCAGTATATATATATTTTTTTATTATCAACTTAATTTTCTGTAAAATATGTTCATTTCAGAGACTAGTTGTTAGTCTAGCGGAGTATTACCTGTCTGTGCACGGCGACCACGGAGTGAAAGACGTCCTGAAAGGCGAAACGTCGACACACACGTCTTGTAAACTGAACAACAAAACGTGTCAGTGCTATGTTGTTTCGTCAGCACTGTTAAGTGTCCCTTAATTGGTTCGGTCTGTCATAACCGATTGACCGCCATATCGGCCTTGAGGTTTCAGACTGACATTGGTTTGACGTTCAGTTTAGCGTCGACTGGCACGCCCACGTCCACCAAGAAATTACAAAGTGAATCAGGACTCATCTCAAAACATGACCGCTGTATCATATAGACCAACTGTAAGGATAACAACTTATTTGTTTCGTGAGTGCGACGTTTCCATACAGATTCTTGTACAGTTGTCAAGCCGCTCTATCACGGAAGTTTCGACGTCGTACACGCCATCGACGTCTGTTGGCAATATGGTGATGTGTAAGGCCTACACAACACTTGGCCGTCGAGTACGGAGATGATGTGAGTGTAGACGATGTCTGATTGTCTGACCCGTAACTCGTACTCCAGTGGCATGACGAGACGTTTACACCCCTTAGAGCCTGGTTTCTGATCAACGATCCTGTGCACTCGTCGGTGTCCTACCCTGAACGAGGTCGATCGTCAACATCTAGGTTTTGGTGGTACCTGCTCCATGTTAATCACAGCCTGTGAAACATTTGAACGCCTTGGCCGCTGTATGTTGACTTCTGCCAGTTTCCAGCCATAGACGCTCCGAATGTTATGCCACATTGTTACCACCGTCACGCAGACAATGAATGAAATTAAGTCATTTGCAACTGTTGGATAATCAGAATCAGTACGATTTACAACAATAAACAAATGTTCAACACGGATTTATCCACCACCCATAAAATCAAACCCTACACACGTACTGTGGATGGATGCACCTTTTGGTGTTTAGTTTTACAGACAACGTTCTTGCACGGGGTAATTGACAACGATGATCTTTAATTGTTCCAATGCTTTGTATTTACATTTATAGTTCATAATCCCCTATGAGGAGTATATGAAGAAACCAAAATGGAAATTCAAGATGGCCGCAATTGGACTATGCTGACCGTCTACTCCTCTCCATTTTCTATTGTAAACCAATAGTGTGTGTTTTCTGCAATTTCAATGGTCGAGAAACCTTGTCGATTATATAGTTCGATTCCCTGAATTACAAAAGTTTTAAACTAAATTTGCCTATGTTGAATTCCAATGAATCCCGGAAATTGAACAAACGAAACTATTTATCTTCTAATTCATATATTATTGTTTATGATAATCTCACTATTGTAAACATATGTGTACTGGAAGGGGGTTTTAGAATAATTCTAAGATGCCTAGCGGTTAGAACAATCGAAAAAAAATACATTATCAGACAATAAAGGTATAGTTTTTTGATGACGTAACAATTGAATGACGTTATCCCGTCACTGCGCCATTCTAGTGTGCCCCCTCGTAATCGAACCATTTTACATTACGTCACAAGCGACGTCATGATGCATGTCAGTTGTCATCGCCTCGTACGGCCTCCTACTGTAAACTACTCTGTTGCATCCCGTTTCTTGGTTTGCAGTTGCTTCACGCAGCTAACATCACTGGTGGAAACATTACGTTTATGTTTTACGACGGTTAAAATGTGTCAATTCGACTCACAAGTTTTCAGCGACACAGTAACGTTCGCAATGTTTACATTCCCACAATGCAATCGTGGAATGTCGCTTGAGTACTCAGCTTCATCTGGATGTACTGATCTAAACTTACGTTGGTAGTAGAAATGCGACGTTCATATTGCCCCATATGGTTTACGTTAATGACAGATGTAATTAAAATAATTCAGAGAAGATATTTAATCCGAACGTAAACCGTCATCAAACTGTTATCATTTGCTTCTTTCTGGTAACGTTCGTCTTAACGTAGGGGGGCAGACACATCAATAGAACAGCGCGCCAGTTAGCCCTGTGCGAGGATTCTTAATGTAGGTCACCGACACCGTCGTTTGTTTTCTGCCTTAAATTAATCGTAATTATCCTTAGAAAGTATTAAATTTGGCATCTTGCGTCCGGGTGCTTTAACGTTATAATAGTTCAGGGCGAAAGTGTGCTTTATTACACTATACATGGTGGTAGAGCGAACTGTATTTCTTAAATACAATGTACTTACGTATGTTACATTTATATTTGTAAGAACGCCTGTTAACAGGGATACATTTTGCCCTGCTCAGAATCCGATGTTCGTTCCCCAAACTGACAGGTGAGGTGAGGTGAAAATGGGTTGAACGTCGTGCTTGAGAATATTTCGCTCACATGACGACGTGCATGCGTGTGTATGTGTATGTGCGGCTGCTTGTACTAGCCCAGACTTAAGCTGGTTTTATAGTGCTAGCCCACTGAGATACCATGCCGCAGTGAAGCATGAATACCCCACTCAGACACATTATACTGACTCCGAGGCGACCAGTCCTTGTTGTACCCATTAATGCCGAGCGCCAGGCAGGGACCAACAAGTACCATATTTTTACGTCTTTTGGTATGACGCGGTTGGGGATTGAACCCGCGACCTTCCGCTCTCCGGGCGGACGCTCTAACCACTACACCACCCAAACTGACAGAAAAACATCCAATTTTTAAGTACAATTTTCTCATTTCCTAAAACAAATTACGAAAATATGAATATCTGAAAATTTCAGTCTGGAGCAATAAGACGACTCCAATGTGTATTCCAAAGGTGCCGAGTTTAAAAAAGATAATCCC